ATGTCCCTCTCCAAGGACCGGTCCCTCCTTACAACATGTCCAAAGTATGTCAGATGAAGCTTCAGAATCCTTGCCTCCAAAGAGCAGCCTGGCTTCACCCTCTCCAGGACGAACTTGTTTGTTCTCCTAGCACTCCATAGTATATTCAACATCCTTCTCCAGCACCACAGCTCAAAGGCATCAGTTCTCCTTCTATCATTCCTAGTCATTGTCCATCTATTTTATTTTATTATTTGTGTGTGTATACCGTCATATTGGATCTGACTGGTATAGGAGGACATTGTCCCTCCTTCTCCAGCAGTGTCTGGTGGATTCGAACCACGCACTTCTGGGATTGCAGTGCAGCTTCTTGCCATTAGGCCACCAGAGCTCGCCTGTCCAGCTTTCTGATGCATAGCAAGTAATTGCAAAGACTATGGCCTGGATCAGGCACATTGTAATCTCCAGACTGACATAGTTTCTCTTCAGTACTTTGCACAGGTCTCTGACAGGATACTTTCCCAATGCAATTCATCTTTTAATTTCCTGGCTGTTGGTACCAAGAGTGTTGATTATGGAGTTAAGCAAACTAAAGCTTTTAACAATCTCTCTTTACCATCTATCATGATACTGCTGCCTACCAGCCCAATAGTAAGAATCTTAGTTTTCTTTTTTAAATTTTATTTTGCTTGTGTACCATTGAATCCGATCTGACTGGTACAGGAGGAGATTGCCCCACCTTCTCCAGTGGAGTATCTGGTGGATTTGAGCTGCGTGCCTTTGGGATTGCTGTGCAGCTTCTTGCCACTAGGCGACCAGAGCTCCATAATCTTTGTTTTCTTGATGTTGAGCTTCAGTCCATATTGAAGGCTGCAGTCAGTCCTTGACCTTCTGCAGCAAGCGCTTCAGGTGCTTATCAGTTTCACAAAGCAGGGTTGTGTCATCCGCATAACAGTCTTCTCAGATGTTGGAAATCCTGACCCTTACATGGGTGGTTAGGAACCTATTTGGGAACAGTATTTTCTTTTTTAAAAATTTAAATTTATTATTAATTTCAGTAAAAATTTACAGAGACTTTGGATTTCCATTCATTCATTGTTGTACTTTTCTCTCCTCCCAACCTTCCCCCCAGAACACTACCCTCTTGGAAAAGTAAAAGAAAAATTCTTACATTGTTTTACAATCCCTCCCCCAGGTTCACTCCACTATGCAGCCTTCGCTCTGGACTCCTGTCATGACAAAAATACCCAATCACATATCGTTTTTACACAGTTTTATCCCTCATCTATTTCAATGCAGTATACAATATTGAACCCATCTTTCTCAGTCTCTCCCCAACCCCAAGGTCAGTCCTGTTTTACAACAGTGACACCATGAAGTATTTGTCCTTTCATGACTGAGATACTTCACTCAGCATAATGTCTTCCAGAGTCACCCATTTTGAATAATATTCAAAATATGCATGAGTTCCTTGTTTTTCAATACTGCATAGTATTCCATTGTGTGACTATATCACAGCTTCTCTATCCATTTGTTTGTTGATGGGCACTTACGTTGTTTCCAACTCCTTACTAGCCGCAATAAACATCGGTGTGGGGAACAGTCTTTTCTTTACTATGTTAAGAGGTCACATCAGGGTAGGATATGTTGGGTTTTTTTTTCTAATTTACTATAAACTTTTTATTTTATACTAGTTTACTTACCAGGTTCGCAGGAAATGGGTTGTTGTTTTGTTGTTGTTTTTTTATTGGACTAAGTGGCTTTATTAAGGGAAGCCAGGATTACAAAGGACTTAAGAGTTGGCATTGGGTCCCTTCTTGCCAAAAATGGGCACGACATTGACAAAACGTCAGTTGTGCTGCATCCACTGCTTAGTTCGGCCGGTCTTCTTTTTCTCCTGTTTTGCCACCTTGGGAGTCTGACCTCTCACTTTCCCAGAATGAGTCAAGGAATCATGGACTTTACCTCCAAGCTTGTGGTCAGCTACTTCCAGGGTGGTCAGGGGCTCCAGCCCACACTGGCCCAGGATAGCGTCATTTTCCAAGGGAGAGAGCCTCCCAGGAGCAGTGCCCTCCAGCGAAGCTACTTGAGCCCTGATTTGGGCGACTCTCTCCTGGCCAGTCACCTTGAGGGTGTGTAGCTCCTGGGCGTGAACACAAAGCTGGGTGATGGTAACTGTAACGCCAGCCAGCCTGCTGACACCGTGAAGACGGAGCCGAGAAAGAGGCAGGCGATGTTTTCAGCCAGCCACTTTTGAGCTATAAGGAAAGCAGAGTAGGGCAGGGGGCAGAGGGACAAGCAGAGTTACAAGATGATAGACGCTGAGCCACAGAAAGACCGTCAAGGAAAAAAGAGCCTGCTTGAGAGAGAGAAAGAGAGTGAGGGGGAGAAAGGGGAGCAGAAAGAAAGAAAGAAAGAGAGGGAAAGGGAGAGGGAGAGAAAAAGAGGGAGAAGCCACCAGAGCTTTCATAGAAGATAGACAAGCTTGTGAGATTTACAGCTTCAGAAACCCTTCCCCTCCTCTTCCCTCCCTTATCCCTGTCCTGTTCATATCAGCTAGGAGTCATTATTGATTTGTGGTAATCTGAGCCTCCTGAACTGTGAGACAATGATTATTTGTTTGCTAAAGCTATCCACTTACGGTATTTCCCGCCTGGCAACGCTGCTAAGACGCTTATCCACCGCAATGACTGACAGTATGATTGAGACTTTAACACACATTACAAGATTAAGTTCCTCTTCCTCCTTTACTCCACAGTTTCTTTCTCTCTTCTCCCGGGTGATGAGCACGCCCATTATATCTAGTTTGGGACTCTTACACATACAACTATCGCGGACACTGTGACTCATGGCCTGGGGGAGTGGCGGGCATTCCTTCTATTAGGCATATCAAGTGGCACACACAGAAGATTTGTAAAAAAATATTAAATACTTGACATTTGGAAAATTAATTGGGTCATTTTTCATGCTTCGGTGGTTTAGTAGAAAGGAATTCTGCTACCACTTCAAAGGCACAGTGTTCGAATCCACCAGCTGCTCCTTGGGAAAGAGATGTGCAATTTCCTCTCTGCGATTTACTGCCTGTGCAATCCTGCAAGGAGGGCCAGCTGTGGATTGGTTCCAAGTTTACACAAGCTTCCTCTAAACAGCAAAAATCATTTCCAGTAATGGCTATGAAATGAAACTAGGTAAGAAAAGACTAGCTTTCGCTGCACTGTGAAGGTGCTTGGTTCCAATGCACCAGGTGCTCCGCTGGAGAAGGAGGGGCAATCTCCTCCTGTGCTAGTCGGATCTGACTCAAAGGTATACAACGCGGGGGTGGGGGGTGGGGGAGGAAGACTGCGCTGCAATCCACAAGACACACGGTTCAAATTCACCCGGTTTGAATCCACCAGATGCTTCGCTGGAGAAGGAGGGGCAGTCTCCTTCTGTGCCAGTCAGAAACCAGGCACACAAAAATAAAAAAAAAATTTTTTTAAAGACTAATTTTATGACAAAGTCAACACCCTTTTAAAATTTTGTGATAATTATAGATTCACAAGGAGTTACAAATCGTACTCTTCACGGGGTCTCCCTTAATGGGTACATCTCATGTAACTCTACCACAGTGTCAGAAGAGACTAAGATTGACATGTGTGTGGTTCTGTGCCATTTTAGCACATGTGCACATTCTAAGCCTTGCATTTTTCACCTGATGGTACAGGTTCGAGCCTGCAAGGAACAGGGTCTCTTGAAAGGCTAAGTTTGCACCCTCCCATCCCCTTGTTGTTGTTGACTGCATTTGAGTTGAGAACAACTCATAGCGACCCTACGAAGAAAAGGCCTGCAGCCCCTTTACAACTACAACCCTTTGTTTTTGTTGTTATGTGCGGTTGAGTCGCTTGCGACTCATAGCGACCCTATGTACAACGGCCCTAAACTCTGCTCTGTCCTGTGCCAATCACACTGAAGGATTAAAATTAAAATGGCTCCAAGAGCTCTAAAATGGCTCCTATAGTTCTCAGCTAAGTTAAACTCAGGAATTTTCCACTGCCCCGGGTGTGATCCCGTTTGTGTGCCCAAGAGACTACCCCACACCCAGTGTTCCAGGAAATAGCCTAACCACAGGGTACCCGTATTCCAAGAACTGGCCGACCACAAGGGTTGGGCAAACAAGCTGATGTTTTAAGATTTGCTTGACTGTTAACTGTGTAAAAAAATGATAACGTGTAAGTGTGCTGTGTAATCCATGTATGAAGCCAGACCAATGAATTTAAACTGTGCTTTTATTACCCAATGAGAAGCTGACACCCTGTTGTATCCCCCTAGAGTGTATAAAAAGAGCCAAAATTGTCTGCTCGGGGTCAACTCCTCTGTCTCCTGCGAGAGATACGTGTCGGCCCGGAGCTCCGCAATAAACCTCTTGCCTTTGCATCAAGCTGGTGTCTTGGAGTCTTGGGTCTTCGCCATCCGCTCGGAACAGGACCACCAGTTCGGGGGCCTTTCAACACTGTCTCTGACACACCCATCCCGATTACACCAGTTACTGAATCAATCCACCTCATAGAGGGCCTTCCCCTCCTGTACTGTCCCTCCCAAGCATGATGTCCCTCTCCAAGGACCGGTCCCTCCTTACAACATGTCCAAAGTATGTCAGATGAAGCCTCAGAATCTTTGCCTCCCAGGAGCCTCGCGGTTTGACCCTTTCTAGGATGAATTTGTTTGTTTTCTTATCAGTCCATGGTACTCTCAATACTCTTCTCCAGCACCACAGCTCAAAGGCATCAATTCTCCTTCTCTCCTCCTTAGTCACTGTCCAACTCTCTGATGCATAACAAGTGTTTGCAAAGACCATGGCCTGTATCAGATGCACCTTAGTCTCTAGAGAGACACCATTGCTCTTCAGTACTTTGGAGAGGTCCCTAACAGCAGACTTTTCCATTGCAATATGTCTTTTAATTTCCTGGCTACTGGTGCCAAGAGTGTTGAACTTTTAATGAACTCCAATTCCCTTTCCAGGGAGGGCTGCGAGGAGCTGCGCCTGGAATTGTCCAACATCCACCAGAAGAAGGTCTGTGAGGAGCGGAGAGCGCAGGTCGCCTTCAACGAGGAGAGGCGGCAGCAGAAGCTGGCGGAGGAGCAGATGTTCGCGCGGCTCTGGGAGCAGGACCGCGCGGCCAAGGAGCAGCGCGAAGCCCGGGACGCGCAGCGTCGGCGCGAGGCGGTGGAGGAAACGCGCCTGCGCCTGGTCGCGCAGATCGCGGCTGCGCATGCGCGGCGGCTGGAGGCCCTGCGGCTCAAGGAGGAGGAGGGCCGCCTGCTGGTACGCGGGCCAGCGCCCCGGCGGGGCTGCTGGGCTCAGGGAGTGTCAGTGCAGTTGTCGTCTGGTCCCCTGTCGGTTCCCAGCGTTCTTATATTTTAAAGCAAATCCCAGACATTACTACTTTTCCTAAAAAACTCAAAATCTCAAGTTTACATCTCAGGAACAACATATATAAGGACACTTTCTTAAACAATGCAGCTGTTGTGTTGTTGTTGAGTCCGAACTGTGCCCCCAGCTGACACTCCTGCGGGGTTTTCAGAGGCAGTTTAATCAATCGCACAAGAGGAGGTTGTCCATCCTCCTGTGGAGCAACTGATGATCTCCAACTGCTTGCCTTTGGGATTGCAGAGCAGCTTTAGTTCCCTAGTGCAACTGCTAAGCTTGGGGTGGGGGTGGGGGAAAATAGCTTCTATTTGTTCTCTAAAACCAACATCAAATGTCCAGCTTGTCTAAATTAGTACTTATTCAAATCAAGATCTAATCTCATGGTATCTTACAAATGTGTTTTATTATTAGGGGGGCTATTTTTGTTGTTTGTTTTTTAGGAAGTTGTTGAGAAGCTCTAGTGGCTTCTGCTTGGGGGTTTCTGGTGGGAATTGCATTAGCCCAAAGGCCACACCTCTTTGGTGGTTCCAATCCACCAGCCCGCCTGAAGGAGAAAGATGGGCATCTCCACCTGGGTTACCTACAACTTGGGAAACCCAGTGGAGAGTCAGCTATGAGTGGGCACCAACTCACCGGGCAGTGAGTAGAGTAATTGTTGTTTGACGGTAGTCAGAACCGAGTCATAGCTGAGCCTCCAGCAGGTTTTCAGAGGCATTAAATCACTTCCTAGGAGACTGCCTATTTTTCTTCCACAGAGCAGCTGTTGGATTCAAACAGCTTGCCTTTGGGATTGCAGTGCAGTTTCTTACCATTAGGCCACCAGAGCTTTCAGAATCTGTGTCAGAAGTGGAATCCGGTTGTTGTTAGGTGCTGTAGAGTTAAGTACCACTCATAGCAACTCTATGAACAGCTGACCTGAACTCTGGCCTATCCTGGGTCATCCCCATCGACTCTGAGACTCTAGAGTTGCTGAAATCACTGTTTCTCTCATTCCGTCCTGCTGAGTATCTTCCTCTCTTTCACACCCTCCACCTTTCCAAGCAGGATGTCCCTTTCCAAGGAATAGCCTGCCCTATGCCTCTGCTGTTGAACTGACCCACAGCTGACCTTCCAGCGGGTTTTCAGAGGCAGTGAATGCCTGGGGTAGTGTGGGGGAGGGAAAGCCTAGCATCAGACTTTCTTCCCACAAACCAGCATTCACAGTTACCATGGCTGTTCTGCGTCTCAGTTGAATCAAGTAGTATTGGGAGGTCTTATCACAGCCTAACCTTGTTAAGTCATCTTTTCCAGCTGCTGTGCCCCTCAAGTTTGCATAGCGCCTCTGGTGGGAGGTCTAATATCCAAATTTATCCAAATTTCTACCAGACCCACGATGCCCTGGAGCTTTGGTGCCCCAGTTAAAACTGCTTGTTGGCCAAGGAATTAAGCCAGCCAGTAGGATCAAAGAGACAAGAAAATGGAAAAGGTGGCAGAATATTTTTAAATAAAAGGAAATGCTTAACTTGTAATTTTGTATATTTAACTCAAGTGCACACTTCCATTTTTAAATTCTTGATGCTGCTTAAAAATGCATATAAACGTAGGTGTGAACACATGCATAGAAAAATAAAGTTGGGAAGCCAGTACTTTAAAATGTTGAGAGTGGTAGTGAGTGATAACAATGAGGGTTTAAGATAATCTTTCTAGGGGCGCTCTGCTGGCCTAGTGGCAAGGAGCTGCAACTACAATCCTAGAGGCACAGGGTTCGAATCCAGCAGATGCTCTGCCAGGAAAAGGAGGGACAATCTCCTCCTGTACCAGTCAGATCTGATTTGATGGTACACTCACACAAAAATAATAAATAAATAAATTTTAAAAAAAGATAATCTTTCTCTGAGAGGGAATTGATTTGATGGCACTTAGCAACAACCCTTTACACTTTTCTGACATCCATCAACGCAGAAAAGCAATCAAGCAATTTTCATAGATCCTTATTGCTGACTTGGTAATGAAAAGACAAGTTATCAATCTGTTTTAATAACCTGTAGTAAATCCAAATTGTGTGTGTGTGTGTGTGTTTTTCTGAGAAATAGTTCTTGTTTTGCAAATTGAAAGCATTAACTTACTTGTTTCATCTGTTTTTACTGAGGCCTCTTCTTTATCATCCTACTTTAGGAAAATGATACCGCACAGATCAAACTTGAGAATGAACAAGAGAGGCTAAAGAAGCAGAAAGCAAAGCAGGACATCAGGACCTGTCTGCAGAGCGCCCTCCACGAGAAGATGGAGCACATGCAGCAGGAACACAGAGAGGAACAGGACTTGAACATGAAGCTCGTGCAAAGGGCCCTTCACGACTTAGAGGCAGAGGCTGAGAAAAAGAAGCAAAAGAGGGTAAACTATGTTCCTTCTTCTGTGCTTGATGCTTCTGTGTTTTTTTGTTTTTTTGAGAGAGAGAGAAAAGGTGATGCAAGCCACACCCTTGCATTGTATCAGGGATGTGACCTGATAAAAGATGTCACATCCCAACCTAAACCTTTTACCACTTATTAGGTGATTAAATCACTTGCTGGGGGATATTACAGCATTAAATAACTTCTGATCCTCATTCATCAACATCATAGAAGTTTGGATTTATAGCACATAGGATAGATAATACATAAGACTGAGAATCATGACCTAGCCACGTTTATGCATATTTTTGGAGGGGACACACAATTCATTCCATAAGAGAAGGGTTTAATGTCATTCTTTTGCATGTAGATATCTAGTTGTTCCAGTACAGTTGTTCAGCTATTGTCTGCTGAATTTTGTTGACATTCTTGTAAAACATTGATTAGCAGTTACTATCAGTTTTCTTTTTTTTTTTTAAAGAATTATTTTTATTATTATTATTTGTGTGTGTACCGTCAAACTGGATCTGACTGGTACAGGAGGAGATTGTCCCTCCTTCTTCAGCAGAGCATCTGGTGGATTTGAACCACGTGCCTCTGGGATTGCAGTGCAGCTTCTTGCCACTAGGCCACCAGAGCTCGCCACTATCAGTTTTCTTCCATTGATCTATATACATCTTTCCTTATGCCAAGAACACTTATTTCTGTGTGTTGACTACCATAGCTTTGTAGCAAGTTTTGAGTTGTTTAGGTGTGAGTTCTCTAACTTAGCCCTTATTTTTCCAAGATGTTTTTGCCTAGTCTAGGTTTCTGTGTTTCCATATGATTTTAGGATCAGATTTCAATTTCTGAAAATAAGACAGCTGATATTTTGATGACCTTGTATTGAATCCATAGCTCAGTTCCCACCTTCACCATTTGAAGTCTTCTGATCCATGAATATAGTGTGTATATGTGTGTAACCTGAGGTCTGCCTAGATTAGAAAAATAAACAGAGCAAATTAGTTATGTTAACATTGTTCAGAACTAAGATTTTCAACACAACAAACAGAGGAGGGAAACCTACAATCATCTTACTTGAATTCAAAACATCAGTATAAACAGACTTTGCTCTTTGGAGGGAAAAAGAGATTCAATCATTTTGTTCACCAAAATGTCTAGAAGCAGAAATGGTCTGGTAGCAATGGGCTCATTGAACACTCAGATTTTAGTCGTTATTAAATCTCATTTCCAACTATAAGAAACCAGGAATCCTTTGAAATGACAAATTCCACGTCTAGGACAGAAAACGTACAAGAATAACCTGGGATAGGAAAAATAGGGAAGAAAGAAAAATCCTACCTAAGGCTAATATGGGCAGACCTCAGGTTACCCATATCCAGCTTCTGTACAACCCTTCCTTATAAGTCAATCTCGATACGTTGTTTCTATAAATGTAAACCTGTAAATGTGAGTTGTGCTAAATCAAAGGCTGTACATTTCTGGTGACTCAAATCCACCAGCTGCTCCGTAGGATAAATCTGGGCAGCCTCTCCCCATTTTGATTTACAGACTTGGGAACGCGATGAAGGGTCACTATGAGTCAAATCTGACTTGATGGCAATGAGTTTAAGTTCTAAAAATTTAAACCAGTGGAAATAAAGCAGTATCATTGCAGATTAGTTGAGGATTGCTTTGACAAGCAATTTGGGCAAGTGTTTGAATGAATTTACCTTAAAATGCATTACAAAACATTTCAAACAGAAACAGAGAGTAACACAAGAGGCGGCCATGTGTCCAGCTCCTACTTTCAAAAGCCAGTCACCTTTGCCCTCACTCCTCCCTTCCCCAACACTTAACATACATACTATGGCATCTGTAAATGTTTTTATATAGAGCTCTCAAGATTGGGACTTCCCCCCCAATGCCATTATCACCCCTAAATATTTTAATAAGACAAATGAATTTTTGTTATACAGGAAGATATGAGAAGAGAACAGAAGATATATACAGAATATATAGCACAGAGACGCAAGGAGGAGAAAGTCCAGGAGAACGAGCTGGACAGAGTATTAGAGAAAGAGAAACAGAAGAAGTCGGCTGAGAAGGACGAGCAGCTGAAACTTGAAAAGGAAGCAAGAAAAAAACTCGTGGATGAGGTCATGTGTACAAGAAAACTCCAAGTTCAAGAAAAGTGTAAGGAACTCAGCAGCATGGTTTGTCTTAATTCAATCTAAGTAGCAACCAAACCAATCTGCTTCTTTGTTTTAGTTGTCTTCTGCTGCTGTAACAGGGTGCTGGGTCTACAGGATAGTTTTCTTGCCGCTCTGGGGGGAAAGTTCTTTTCTGTCTTTTGACTTATGCTCCTGGAGGATTTTCACGAGCCATGGTATCTCACTTCCCTAATTTCTGCTTACCTTGGTGGCTTGTTTAATCCTTTCTATCTCAAAAGAGATTTCCCTAAGATAAAACCTGACATCAAGACTGTTTAATTCACATAACAAAAGCAAACTTATTCCATAAAAGGATTATAATCACAGGTGTAGGTGTTAAAAGGCAGCATGAGGACAGCCGAGTCTGGCCTCCATTCACTACAAAGGGGAGCTGTCCTGTTAAACGATATCTACAGTACAAAGCTAATTCCTGTACGGTCAGATGAAGGATTATGAAGAAGTTAACTTTTAACCCTTCTCAGGTAGAAGCCATAAAACCTCACAGGACTTTTGCCCTCTTTTAGAAAAACAAGGCCATAAAACGGCTCACCCACATCTGCGAGTACAGATAAGAGAAATTCCAGGAATTGTTTTTCTGAACTTTACTCCCCACTCCCCCACCCCTTGCGCCGACCCCGCTTGCCACGCGTGTGCGCCAACTTGCTTTTAAATATACCAATCAGATAGTTTTCCTCGCTTACCCGCGCGCGCCAAATTATTACCCATCAGAACTGCCTACCTCAGTGTATATTCAAATACACCAATCAGCAACCCTCCCTGTGTGTTAGCCCATGTTTGCGCGGGTTATTGCCTTTATAAGCTGTATGTACCCTTAGCTCGGGGCTCAATTCCTCTGCCTCTGCATAGGTCAGGAGTTGTGCCCCAGCGCGCTGGATGGAATAAAACCTCATGCTGTTTGCATCAAGGACGGTCTCTCGTGAGTGATTGGTGCTGGCGTCTGATCTCATTGGGGTCCGGCTCTGCGGATCCAACACAGACAGGGTCTCTCACACTCCTTCACTTGTTTCTACTGGTTCCAACACCAATCTTACTGCTCTACTGGGTCTGAAATCCATTGTGATGAAAACACAGACCTCACAGAACCATGCTCACGACTGTGGGATTTCTGAGGGAAGTTAACAGCCGGCCACTCAAGTTGGCGGTGGAATACAATCCCTCAGTCCTGGCAGCTTCTCAAGTGTTGTTGAAGGTCCTTTGACCTTCAGTGTCATGGGTTATGCCAGTGTTACAAAGTTCCCTTAGACCTGCCAATTACAATGTCTTCCCTCGATCCTCCAGCAAGCTTAGATGAAGGCCTCTCACTGTACTCCGTGGGGCAACAGTCCCCAATTCTGCTCTGTCTCATGTTGGTCTCTGGTTCTCTATTGAGGCTGTTATGTTTGCATAGAACCTGGTCTGTCTGGTGCAGGAATCTTTGGCCCTAATGGACTCGCACTGCACTCTCTGCTACCCCTTTTCTTGCTGGTATTGAGATTCTCAAACTTCTACCACTTAATCTGCTCAATTTAAACCTGTTGTTGTATATTGTTGTTGTGCACCACAGAGTTGGAACCGATCCACAGCTGACCCTCTGGCAGGTTTTCAGAGGCAGTTAATGACACAGGAGGAGATTGCCCACCCTTCTCCCATGGAGCAGCTGGTGGCCTCGAACTGTGTGTCTTCAGGATTGCAGCCCAACTCCTAGTGGAATGGAAAGACTAGCCAGTCTCTTTGTGGATAGACTCTTTGTTATTTTTTGCATGCTGTTGAGTCAGAACTGACTTAGAGTTGACCCTTCAGTGGGTATTCAGAGGCAGTAAATTGCACAGGAGAAGACTACCCATCCTTCTCTCATGTAGCAGTCAGTGAATTCGAACTGCATCCTTTCGGGATTACAGCACAGCTTCTTACCAATAGGCCACCAGGGATCCCTTTGTGGGTAGACTAATATAACCTATTTGTATGATCCCACCCAACCATGTGGCAAAGTCAAAGTTAATGCCTAGGAAAAACATTTAGAACAATAAACCCTTGACACCCCAGTAGGGGTTATCATTTGAGGGGACACAATTAAAACCACAATAGTACAGCATGTTGAACCCTTTGAGGGATCCCAGAGGCAAGATCCCTGCTCTTGCAGATCTCGCCGAGTTGGAGACATGAAGTGTAAACAGGTGGAGAGTTTCATATCCCAGGAGATTCTGAGCAGGCCCTGGGGAGATGCTCTCAAGGCAAAAGGACTTATGTCTGGTCTGTGTACTGTGTGTGCCTTAGTGCTTATATAGGTGAGTGAGAAGGTGGAGCACAGACACTCATCTCTTCCACCTCCCTTTAATCTGTCCCTCTTTCTTTCACAAGTTCCTCCTACTTTCAAGCCTTTGCTCAGGTAGTCTTCTCTGCTTATGATGCTCATGATATTGAGAAATTCCACACTTTCTTGAGAAGCCCTCAGCACTCCTGCATCCAAAATAAAGCCTCGTTCCAGGACTTTCATGGTGGCTTGCTCACATCTCTGTCTTCGCACACCATTGTAATCCCTGGCAGCTCGCAGTGGCTGGTGGGTGAAGGTATTATTTGTTAAAAGGGTGAATGTCCCTTCAGATACTTGCCATTTCCATGCCTAGCCCAATGAACTGGAGAATAGTTGGACAGAATTACTCTCCATCTCTTATAGGGTCCTATTAGATTTCACATCAGCGGTCTTTGTAAGACAAAGTTTGTCCTGGTTCCATTGATTGATTTTTCCTCTCAGACATCGTGACAGTAGTTAAAAATTACTAAGCTACTAGTTGTTGTTGTTGTTAAGTGTCGTCGAATAGATGACTCATAGCGATCCTAAGAACGAAAGACCTGAATACTTGTATAACTTTCTTTGTTTCTCCAAGTTCACAGGGTTTCCGGAGGCAAGCTATTTTGGAAGTGGATGCCACTTTTACTATTGTTGTTGTTGTTATGTGCCGTCGAGTCGTTTCCGACTCATAGCGACCCTATGCACAACAGCCCTAAACCCTGCTCTATCCTGCGCCAACCGCACCC